CCCTAAAGCAATCCGCCACTGCGCAAAACACTGTATGAAATCTGAAACAAAACAAATGTAGTCAATCGTAAATATCTGAAACATAACATTTATATTAAAATTTAATATTATTTAATTATAGTTAAATTTAATAATCTAAAGATTGCATTAAATTATTTATGTTAACTCAAAGGCTAAAATTAAATATTTTCACAACAATAAACACTAAGGCGACACTTCAGCACAAATATATTGAATTAGAAAATGTAACGCAAATGGTTTAATATTAAAGAAACGAATTTTTACTTCAATTTATTTACATTCTTATAATTATAATTCAACAGAAAATTAAGTCAAATCGAATGAACCAAAACACAAGTTCCATGACACATATTTGAAACTGAATACACGAAATGATTACATAATACATAAATATTTTTTAAAAGACTTACCACTGACCGTAGTGTCGACCGAGAGGTCCAAATACAGAATGATTTTAGTTGTTATTGCGAACCTCTTTTATTGGGGTCAGAAAGAGACAAAACTATGAATTGTTACCAGATGATACTAAAATTCAAAAATTGTTATCTAATTGAATAGTTTCGGGTTCGGAACCATAGAGGGTGCAATACGAAAAGTTTATTGTACCTCACAATCAGTAATAATTGAACCTTCGTGGCGAGATGGTCGAAATTATTACTGCTAATATTTGCATCTAGTTCTGTTTGATTCATATATTTGATTTGATTGTGAAGTATTATTTGTATTAAATACGTTTTTATTTGTATTTGCGTCTTATTAATTTGTGCGTTTTTATATATAATTGTAAAATAAAACTAGTGGTGTATGGCATCGTGCCTTAAGGCAAATTGCTGGAACTTTCCGTACCGTAATGGAATATTCGAGAAATTTTAAACGGTTTTCAAATATATTATTACAGATACTGTAACTTTCATTATTTTTGCTATCTTGTTATATCTGAGCAAATCAAATGTAAATCATAAATCAATTTATCTGCAGAACATTAACAATCGTCATTTCTTTTCGAATTCATTTTCAAAAAAATAGTTGCCTAAATTTGCACAAAATTGAAAAAGTGCTCCCGTATAGTCACAGTCTAAACGCATTTACTAATAATTCTGTGCTACATTTTCACTTATACTGTGCTTAGCTTTGGCAGCATTTTCACATTTTTCAAAAGTTTTTTCACAAAATTGGAAAAGTGCACTTGGGTAAACACTTTGGGTAAACATTTATATCAGATTGGCGCTTAGACTGTGCTTAGCCTGGGTAATTTTTTGATTTTTTAATCCAAAATTACAAAAATATTTTTGAAAAAAAAAGATAGAAATTTTTTTTTCAAAAGCAATTATTTTGTTGAAACAAGCAGAAAGTTCTTTGAATCATTTAAATCGCACGCTTAGTTCTCTTAAAAACTGCACTTTTTTTAACATTTAGCTCTGTATCTCCGAAACCGCTGGGCCTACCTTTGCGTCCAGCGTCCGATTTAAATGATTTAAAAAAACTTTCTGCTTCTTTTAACAAAATAATTGATTTTGGAAAAAAAATCTGTTTCAATTTTTTTTTTGTATATCGAAAATAATTCAGATTTTATTTTTGATTCTGACTAAAGTTTTAAAGCTCACTTATATACTTTATAAAATAGTTTCAACTTTGCAATTCAGTTTATATAATTCTTATAAATATTAGACAATGTTACAGTATTTATTTGTAATAATCTATTTGAAAACATTTAATATTCTTCGAACATTTCGTTACGGTACGAGAAGTTCCAGCAATTTGCCTTAAGGCACAATGCCATACACCCCACTAGTTTCATTTTATTTTATTTCTCACAAAAAGCTTATTAATTTGATAATTTTTATTTTAAACATGATACATCACTAAAAATATTAATGAGGCGCTCTTGAATAAGTTTGATTAGAAAACGAATAACATTCTATTTCATAGAGAATTATCTAGATCAAGATCAATCCTTAAAATAAATTGCCGTGACAAAAAAAAAAAAAAAAATCGGAAAAATTTGCCGCCCCCCAAATTGTGCCGCCCTAGGCCCGGGCCGATGGGGTAATCCAGCACTGTTTATAGATCATTTACTCTAAATACATATATGCAAACTTATTTATAGATTTGATACAATTCTACATTTATATCCACACAATATTATTCCACAAGTTCAATTGTTTGCTCGAAGCTTTTCGACAAACATCATATAGTAGTAAAATAAAAAATAATTGACTGTAAAAGAGCTAATATGTATGAAAAATCCATTAAGTTATGTAAGTGCAAGTTATAATTGTACTTGTTCTTTACATATTCATAAATAAAATAATTAACAGACTTTCATAATTATTTATTGTAGTACATATTAGAATAAATATGGAATAAATTTGTTATAATAATTTAAATTAAAAAAAATTTCATCAGGTAAATTAAACACTTATTAATTGCCAAATCAGGCATTTTCTCTCAAATTGCGTGCATGCTTACCATGATATTTGCATTTATAATTATTCATAAACTTAAAGGCACAGTTATCTGCAGTTAGTTTCTCATGTACCGAATATCGTTTATATAATTTTCCAGTTCTACGTTTACGAAAATTAGACAGCTTATCAATCGTAGGTGAATCTTTCCTTTCTGTTGCCTTTTTCAACTGAGCTACCATTATTGCTGATTGGCAATTCATTTGTTCTTGCAATCGTTTTAGGTAAATCATGAAAATGTTTCTTGTAGTTTCATCTGCCGCTTCGGCGCAAGTTATCATCTAAATTAAATTAAAATGGCATGTCTTAAAGGAAGTAGCAAAAACTTCTTGATATGTGTAAATGCTCAGGTTTGGCTCTATAATGTGAAAAACTATTGCAGATTATTCAATTTTGTACAAATATACCAAACATATAAAGTTATTTCAGCAAATTGTAGTTAATTACATTATTTGTCAACGTTAGCGAGCTCTTAACAATCACACTCGTTTTTCCTTAAATTATTTTTAATAATTCAAACGTTATAGATCATTCAATGTAAAACAAATTCTTTATGAAGTTCTGAAAAAAAACAACTAAAAATAACATTAACCACATATTGAAAAGCAAAGATTATTTTGCAAAAATTTTATTTTAAGATATTTCGATATTAGGTAATTTTCAGTGATGCACACACATATATTGACACATTTATGTTTATTAATTAACATAATTATTTAAATATTTTAATATTGATAATTATATGTACTTAATTAGGATGCAACTCTTTTCCTCACCACCCATGGGGTAGAGTTGCCAGGCGCGTTTTTTTTAATGTGGTGTCGCCACAGAAATAAATACTTGTATTCATATTTACGTTTCTAACATTTCAGATGGAAATGGATATAGTGTAAATACTACTAAGTATCGATTTGTGCAGCCCTAATCCACTTAAACTAACTTACAAACTAATTATACCTAACTGACCTGAATATATCGCGAAAAGAAGAACCTCCGCGAAATGACCTAATGTACCCAAAAATTTCGGTTTTTAAAAATGAAAGAACCTCTCGTGGTAAAGAAAAAAATCCAAATAAAATGTGTACTTTAGTATTTTAGCGGTGATTGTAAATTTATAAAAAAAAAAGAGCATTTACATGATTAGGATGCAACTCTTTTCCTCACCACCCATGGGGTAGAGTTGCCAGGCGCGTTTTTTTAATGTGGTGTCGCCACAGAAATAGATACTTGTATTCATATTTACGTTTCTAACATTTCAGATGGAAATGGATATAGTGTAAATACTACTAAGTATCGATTTGTGCAGCCCTAATCCACTTAAACTAACTTACAAACTAATTATACCTAACTGACCTGAATATATCGCGAAAAGAAGAACCTCCGCGAAATGACCTAATGTACCCAAAAATTTCGGTTTTTAAAAATGAAAGAACCTCTCGTGGTAAAGAAAAAAATCCAAATAAAATGTGTACTTTAGTATTTTAGCGGTGATTGTAAATTTATAAAAAAAAAAAGAGCATTTACATGATGTACCCCCCAGATCCACCATGTAAACACTTGGAAAAAACTTCATAGGTTCCCAGCCTATGAAGTTTAAGAACAAATCACTTTGTGATTTATAATTATTAATTAATGTAAAGAAAAGCGCGAAAAATGTAAGAAAGGTTCTTTCACAACGCCATCCCTTTGAGCTCTGAATAAAAGCACGCGAACAACCCCAAAAAAGGTAAGACCGAAGATTTTAATGTCAAAACGCCCCCTAATCTGATATTAACTAAATACTACTATAATACGATAATATAATACAACTAACTATACAATAAAAATAGAAAGTCTCATCTCACAGTTAATTTTCCTTTCGATTATGTCGTATCATCCAATTCAGTTGTATGTGGTAGTTCAGGTAGTAGTGGTGCTAGTTGGTTTTGAGTCGATATTTTCTGCCAAATCTTGTGCAAGACCTAAAAAGAGGTGAACAAGAATTTCATTGCATTTATTCGTATAGGTTGCAGAAGTAATTGTTGGTACCCACTTGTTCATATCCTTTAATTTGGTAGTGGTCTCTTGGTGGTTCGTGTATATCTTGGTAAATCTTCGTGTATATCTTGGTAAAGTCTTGGTACATCAATTACTTACAATTCTTGGTACATTAATTACAATTACAATTACGTCTGACCAATTTTCTCCTACGGGTTGTGGAAGTAGTTCTTGGTACTCACTTGGTAAGCAATTTTCTTGGAAAGACATCTGAAATGACATAAAAAAACACAAGTGCCCCTAAAAATAGGGGCAAACATACAAACGGGGCCCCGGTAACAAAAATAAAAATATTATATACTTATATCTAACCAAGGTCTAATTACTTAATATTAACTTATGAATACGAGAAAACCTGTAGGTATCCATATTGAGGTGAACTGAAAGGGTCAAGGGTACTCTTGTTAGAGTGTAAGGATTGCTATTTGGTATGTTTAGCATCTCACTTCCCAATATGAAGGGTTTACCTTAGCGCCCTAATTCGACTCAACAAAACTTGCAGTTACCAGTGGAGATTTTAACTAACTACACAATTAAAACAGAATCTACTTACCAACTTATTGATTGTTACCGAGTTATGTTTACAGATCCGAGAGCTTGACCGCACTTATGTATAGTGATGCATTAAGCCTAAATTCGAATGTACTAACGATGGGTAATGATAAAGCTAGAAATGATTAAAAATGTATAGAACGGCGTAATTACGCAGGGGAAAGCTTAAAATCGGAAAACTCGATCGGATTTTTCTAGATCGTGTTTTTTTTCCCTGGCACAACATCACAACCATCACTAATGCACTAACTTGTGTCCTCCGTATTGGATTGACCACCTGAGAGGACTGATACTAAAAAACGATCGCGACTTCGGACCTCATACGATAGGAGCCTTATAGGCAGGTGAGGATTTAGTTTAGGAGTTTAGAAACTCCTTGGAAATGATGTATGTAGTCTTTATCGCGAATCTGGACCACATACGACAGGAACCATATAGGCGGGCGGCGGATGTAGTTTGCACTAAAGGTTGTGCAACCCTTTGGAAACATTGCATGCTGTCGTTACAAAGACGCAATCACTTTTTAAGTATCAGTCTTCTGAGGTAGTCAATAGAGTCGGAAGTACACAAGCCCTTGAGGCAGTTAGTGTATAGTGGTGCGTGTGTTGTTCCATGGGCAAAGAACACACAATCCAGAAAAAGTGAGAGCTCTCCGATTGTATGCGATCCCCATTATCATCACGCCGTATCATACACATCTATAATTTCAAGCTTTTTCACCAACCAAAACAATAGTATATCAGAATTTAGACTTAAGACATGACTACAAAAATACAGTCATATCTTCGCACCTACGACGAACACAACTAGGTAACATTGAATAAGTTAATAAGTATAGATTCTGTTTCATTCGTGTAGTTAGTTACGCACTCTACAGATAATTACCGGGTTTTATTAAGTCAGATTGGGGCGCCAAGGTAAACCCTGTATATTGGTAAACGCAATGCCAAGATGTACCAAGTAGCAGTCATTGCGCCCCAAAAAGGGTACCTTCAACCTTTTTAATCCACCACAATCTCCTAGCAAGCAGTCCTGGTGCTTGTCGTCGTGGTGAGAAATTAATTCTGCAACCCTGAAATGAAAAGTGACTTGAAAGAAATGAAATAGACAATGACTTATAAATACTATGTGGTAGCCTGCTCGTATTTATCCGCTGCCAGTGCTCTGGTACATCATATCGGTACACATGTTCTCCTGTTCGTTGTAGTACTCAACCCCCTGGTATCTTTAGTCGAGGCCCATTTACACTAAAATAAATGTCAATTTTGTTATTTTTTTTACATAATTTAGGGTTTTGTATCATCTTACCTTTTTTTTTTTAACTTCAAACAGTACGTCTTCAGCATTTCTCCGTTTAGGAGACTTATTGTGCAAGCACAAAAAATTAAAATTATTTTATTAAAACATATTCATTGCATTGCAGCAGAAAAATCAGTCAAAATAAAAACAAATAATTTATTTAACAAAGTTTTTAGATTTTTAAACGAGTTATTTACATCCATGCTACTAATAAAATAATTCAAAAAAATTAAATATTGTACAAATAATACTAATTATAAATTAAAGTGTATGGGGTTGCGTTGCTTCTGGGAAAAACATCGCAAGGATCCACACACCAAATGAAAAAAATAATTATTAACGAAACGCGAATTACTAGAACCTGCCGTGGGGGGTAGGCGACAGGAACACATTTAAACGCGGAAATCGTTTCAAACGATATTAAAATTACGAATAAGTCCTCGCACGAACAAAAAAAAAAATTAAAATGTGGACGCAAATAACCCAAAATTATAATTTAACAAAATTATAAAAAATAATTAAAAATTGTCAATGTGATTGAATAAAAAAGAATTCATGCACAATAAATCCCTAAAGCAATCCGCCACTGCGCAAAACACTGTATGAAATCTGAAACAAAACAAATGTAGTCAATCGTAAATATTTGAAACATAAGATTTATATTAAAATTTATTATTATTTAATTATATTTAAATTTAATAATCTAAAGATTGCATTAAATTATTTATGTTAACTCAAATAGCTAAAATCAAATATTTTCACAACAATTAACACTAAGGCGACACTTCAGCACAAATATATTGGATTAGAAAATGTAACGCAAATCGTTTAATATTAAAGAGACAAATTTTTACTTCAATTTATTTGCATTCTTATAATAATAATTCAACAGAAAATCAAGTCAAATCGAATTAACCAAAACACAAGTTCCATGCGCGAAATGCACGAAATGATTACATAATACATAAATATTTTTTAAAAGACTTACCACTGACCGTAGTGTCGACCGAGAGGTCCAAATACAGAATGATTTTAGTTGTTATTGCGAACCTCTTTTATTGGGGTCAGAAAGAGACAAAACTATGAATTGTTACCAGATGATACTAAAATGCAAAAATTCAAAAATTGTTATCTAATTGAATAGTTTCGGGTTCGGAACCATAGAGGGTGCAATACGAAAAGTTTATTGTATTGTACCTCACAATCAGTAATAATTGAACCTTCGTGGCGAGATGGTCGAAATTATTACTGCTAATATTTGCATCTAGTTCTGTTTGATTCATATATTTGTTTTGATTGTGAAGTATTATTTGTATTAAGTACGTTTTTATTTATATTTGCGTCTTATTAATTTGTGCGTTTTTATATATAATTGTAAAATAAAACTAGTGGTGTATGGCATCGTGCCTTAAGGCAAATTGCTGGAACTTTCCGTACCGTAATGGAATATTCGAGAAATTTTAAACAGTTTTCAAATATATTATTACAGATACTGTAACTTTCATTATTTTTGCTATCTTTGTTATATCTGAGCAAATCAAATGTAAATCATAAATCAATTTATCTGCAGAACATTAACAAGTAGTGAGTGTAGTAGTTAGTAGTCTTACTCCTTTCAGGTGTTGTAAGTAAAATATATAGGAAGTAATAAAGTGTTTGTATGTATAAAGAAATAATAATAAAGTGTTTGTAATAAAATAAACATATAGTCTTTCAATTAATAGTGACTATAGTTAGTTAAGTTATTAAGTTATTATTTCTTTCAGATGTAGTAATAGGTAGAGTTAGTAGTTGTATTAAACTTACTTAGTTATTAAAGTATTTAATGGGTGATTAAAGGTGTACAGTAATGGGGTACTCTTACTGTAATATATAGAAGTAATAATAAAGTGTTTGTATAAAAGAGAGCATAGTCTTTCTCATTAATAAGTGTTGTAGTTTAGTTACTTATTATTATCTTAGTTAGTTTAGTTAGTTATTATTATACTGTAATATATAGAAGTAATAAGTACTTTGTATGTATAAAGGATAATACATTGTATAAAATTAACTCAGCTTTTTATTTAGTTAGAATAGTAGGTAGTAAGTACTTTTATTCCTTTCAGGTGTTGTAGTAAAAGTGGTACTTGATTTGGATTTGGAATAAAGTGTTTGTAATAAAATAAACATATAGTCTTTCAATTAATAGTGACTATAGTTAGTTAAGTTATTATTTTTTTCAGATGTAGTAATAGGTAGTTCGGAATGAATTGAACAAATTACGGTTTATAATCACTCGAGAGAGTAGATATTGTTTCGGCGCCTGTCGATTGATAATGCGAGAATGTATAAACGAAGACATTTGAATTTGTTAAACTTTAGGCAGGTAGCCTATTAAACAGCGGGCAAGCTCTCCTCTAGCGTAATTCATATTTCTTACATTTTCTCTTCATTTATATTTTATTATGTTACAATAACAGAGGTAAAAATAATAAAACTCAAAACTTAAATTTTGTTTGCTATAATTAATATGCTTTATATTTACGCTCAGAATGGATTCAATCAAAAACATATGAGACGGGTTTAGAAAATTAATTATTTCTTATAACTTGGTGTAAATCGTACTGCAGTTGATGCTTTCTGCACAACGAAGAACTTACATCAGTTTAAAATTTTATTTTGAACCTAGTAAAAATGTATGACATAATAAATTCCTAATATTTTCTGTTATTTTATTTTTTTTTTATTCATTTACTGTCAAGTTAAAACGCTATGACAGTATTGATTGTGAGTAAAATGCAATATATTTGTATATAATTGCTGTTGATTATTGAATTGATGCTTACATTGCTGTGCTGTTGATTATCGAATAAAAAATATTTGATACTTTTATTTTGATTTATTTTAAATGCATTACTCAATTATTTATGAGTAAATATATTCTAATATCAAGAATAGATCAAGTAGTTGATCGTAGTTCAACAAGTAATATCACATTTCCATATCAGGATAATATTAAAATTATTTTTTTAACACTTTTGCATACATGCAGAGTTGATATTTCAGGCTTTATTTGGTAATAGTCAATAGAATTAGATCAACAAAATATGTTTTAAGAATGATAATAATCATTCAACATTTTCTCTTACAGATTTTTTTTGGCAGACATTTTCAATTTGTAATATTGAGATTAAAAAAATCTAACTGCAAAATTATAATTAACTTTTATATATTATAGTATAATAAAATTTAAAACAATTAAGTTTATAACTAAAACCTGTTTGCTTAGAAAGTATGACTAGAAATATATAACTTATCTTACAATCGATTGGTATATCTTATATGACTTCCACCGTTAAAACGTTTGAGCAAATGTTTAAATAGATTCAAAATAATATAAATTAGTAATATAATGATTGCTCAACTATAAAATAATTAAAATTACTATTAAAATTATTTACAATTATTTTTAGATTAAATACCAAAAACAGTAAATAACATTTTACCATGACAATTTAACGTGTACATACCGTAATGAAAATCAATTAGAGCTTGAAAGCATCAATAAAATTCAACTATACCTTAAACCTTTGTTCAATGTGCAGGATGTGAAATTAAAGAGAAATTATTTGACCATTTTTTTGGAGGCCTATTCAAGCTATCAGCTAATACACAATTAGAAATCAAACTTCTTGCTTTTTCATCCTGTTGTTTTGCTCGTAAAGACTTTCTATATTCATCAAGTTGAGAAACATCTATTACAATAGGTGTTTTCTCCAGCTTCATTGCAATTGGAATAATAGTTTCTTCTACATGTTCAAGCTGTTCTTCATCAATCAACTGAAAGTTTTGGTAATTGTAATTATTAACAACATTCACACCAGTCACCTCATCGGTGTAACATGATGGATCATCCAAGTCCACAGTCTCAAAATGTAGATGAACGTTTGCCTTTTGATTCCCCGCTATATGTGACTCGTGCTCTTGCAATAAGGTTTTCGAATAAAGAACAGAATTCTTCTGAACTATATCATTAGCAGTCCCATCAGTAAACAGATTTTGAATTTGGTCATTGGGTTCACTTAGCTGAAATTACATTACAGTACTGTTACAAAGAGTTTCCGCTAACAGATCATAAAGAACAATTTTAAGTGCAAAATACCACTTACAACTAGTAGTAATTGCATAACTTTCCAATACATCAATAAGATGCTGATAATATTTTCAACCGGTTTATGTAATTGTATTAATTGTAGTGCATAAACACGTTCTTGCATGTCCTGAGCAAGTCCCATTATTCCAAACTTAAATAAACTTTTACAATTTAATCACTTTTCATAGAACTATAATATTTTATGAACTTTTATATCATAAACCCCATTGGCATGTTATCTTTCATTAAAAACGCCAAGATTTTTTTTTATTTTCAGCCGATCTTTCCTAAATACTAATTAGCACAATCGCCAACTGATATTTTTCGAAGGATTTTTAAATTTTCAAAATCGCTTCAGGATTTTTTACGAAAACGTGCACAATATTTTCTCCCTTTCTGAGCATCAACAAAACCCAAATTTCAAACATAGTTTGAAACATAAAAAAACATACAATTAACAAGATGGATTTTGTGTTAAACATTATTTTCAAAATAAAAATATTAACGTTTTATCTAAATAGCGTAATCTTAATTCTTGTTGATTAAATAAACTATTTATGCGCGGCGTGGGAAGATTGAAAACCACTGATTTATACATGTCAGGAACCGCTTACACTAAGTAAATTAACTAGTGGCGTATGGCCATTACTATATTTACCCTACGAGAAGTTAATAAATTACCTGAGTAGTTTTATCAATGTGCTTTTTACGATGATGCTGCAATAATTTTGCTTTGCTGGCATATTGTTTGTGGCACCATTGGCAAGGATGAGGGTGAGATGTCACACTTCCTACAGTTTGAGAATATGTCAGATTAGGCATACCAGGGATATCAGGCAAACTCCCTCGATACCGATTTGATAAAGGTAATGATAAACCTGTATAAAAAAAAATGAATTAAAAATTGAATATCAAACAAATGTAGAAAAATGTTTACTCGACATTTTATTTAGTTATGTATAAAGGTAAAATTAAATTCAAATCAAAAATATTATATTTCACCTGGATGTAACTTTAATATGTGAGCTTTCCTTTTTGAACTACTTTTATAAACTTTACAACAATACTGACAATAATAATTGCGAGTGGTCCTTAAAATCGGCAGATTTAATTCTGGAACAGTTTCCGGTTTAACATCAGGGTGTCTCTTTGCCAAATGATTTACTAGCATACCTCGTCTTTTAAAACCTAAAATATATTTGTTTGTTTAAATTGATTTTAGATATACATTTTATTATATCATAAAATATGCCTAAATTCAAGAGGTTACTATTTTTATAAATAAAATTTATTTAATACCTAGCAAACAGCTGTGACATTTATAAATAAACCGATGATAGTCATTTGGAGAAACTCTGGGCATAAACTTTTTAGGTTTATTATTATTACCAGCAAAAATAGCAAGATTCTCATCAACCGATCTTTCTTGCTTATCAATCTGTAGAGTATTTAGTTTTTCATGAATGCATTTCATATGTTCTGTTAGCTTATCTTTCCTTTTGAATTGTTTACCACAATGAGCACAAAGGAATTCTCGATGGTCAGAATGCCTTAATAAAAATTTAATATTAGTCTTTATAGAAATGTATAAAAAATAAGCAGATTAATACCTCAATAAGTGCATCTTCAATTTATCCTGAGCAGGAAACATTTTATTACAATGAGGACAGGAAAATTTTTTCTCAGAATGAAAGGCTCGGATGTGTTTTCGAATAAGGCGATATTGCGTAAAATTCTACAATAATAAAAGAATAAGTGAATTTTTATTTTTATGATATCATTTCTTAGTTAAAATACCTTATTACAGTGTTTGCATGTGAAAACTCCATTTATACAATGTACTTTGACATGCTCACGTAACTCTCCAACCACAGTAAAATTCTAAAATGGAATAAAAAATAAATGGAATCAGAATCTTTTAAATATCGGCTTTAAATGGTACCTTCAGAACATACCATTTCACACATTGGGCACTTCAACCATGGATGTGTTTTCAAATGGGCAGTTAGAGCTGGTAATGAATTAAATATTTTTGGGCATTGACTACAATTATATGATTGATTATCATTATTGATGTGCATTGCCATATGGTGCTGAAATTCAATTTCATAATTGTTTAACATAATGCAACAGGCAAACTACAAAACAAAAGGTGCAATAGTAATGAACTTAATCAATTGAGGTTCAACTTTAGGTAAAATTTTCAATTGTTATTTCAAAAATAAAATTTTCGATTTAACTAAAAATTAATCAATGCAATTTCCGATTTATGTTTTTCAAACATATTTATAATATATCTGCAATGGTGTAAATTAAAATAATCGGTTTATTATCCATGCGAGTTCTAAAAATTTATTTTATTTAGGTGTGGACATAAAATGTAATCAGTAGCTACAACACATATGCATATGCTTTGACATAGATGATCTGATTAGAATCGATTAAACACGCGGCAAAATTCTAAACTAATGAACTTTTAAAATTCAACTTCTTATCATATCATCTCAGGCAGAGATGGATTCTCATATTATACCAAAGTTTCATTCGTCAAATGATTTACCTCGAATTTATCTTTAAAAAGTGAGAAAACCTTTGGACATAATGCACATTTGATTGATTTTTCTTGGCCATCATATTTCTCAATATCATCACTGTACTTTTTATTCTCTTTATTCTGAGCAATTTCTAATACACCAATTCCTTCTTTAATGCTATCTATTCCACTTTTTGTAATTAAATTTGAACTTTCTTGAATATTATTTGATTGGTTTTGTTTCAATTGTTTATCATTCAAGCACACTTTTATTCCAGAGTCAACATCCTTTAATTGGTGTGTCAGCATATGTCGCCGTAAACTAAGAAAGATAAAAGGATTATACAATTTCTATAAAAATCTTAGAAAATATTAATATTTGAAATATTAATCTTTTAGTTTGTAATGAAAATGTTATTTGCTTATTATGTGATGTCCATAAAGCATATTATTATTCGGAAGGTTTGTCGGAAGGTAGTTGTAATAAAACACAAGAAACTGATCAATTATCGATTTGTAAAAAACAAAATTATTAAATCTTATTATTAAAACAATATTTAATATAAATTAATTGCAACAAAAGTATTTTTTAAATTGATTATATTACATAATACCAAACCTGTATCTTCTAGGGAATTTTTTAAAACAAATGTTGCATTCATTTTTATCTTGGCTTAGTATTTTTGAAGATGCTGTCGATCTACCAACTTTACTTTTCCTATCATCCTTGATTTTATGATTTTGAGCTATGTTTTCAGTATCTGCTAGAAAGTTGCAATTCAGAAATTGACCTTGTAATAACAGCTAGAGCATTTTTCCTTTCAAAAACTAATTTACAATTAATCAAATAATTTATAACTAATGGTTGTAAAAGAGCCACAATTTGGAGAATAGAACTATTAAAACCAATTGAAATAAACTATTCTAATTATTTTAGATCATTGTTATATATAATTTAAACTTATATTAAAGATATTGTGCATAAATACACAAACATTTTACCTTGAATTTGTTCTGTTGATTTCAACAAATCAAAGCCATAAATATTTGCATATTCTTCACTATACCAAACTCTGAGTTCAGATTTAGCATCGATTTGTTGTATCGTAGTAAAATATAGTTTTCCGCCATCTTCAGAAACAACTAAGTTTTGTGTAGATCTACTGCATGCTGGCCTTACAAATCGCATCCAGTTGGAAGTATCTATGACAGATATTATTAAATAGAATTATCTAAATCTTTTACATTTATTTTATTATGTAATTTATTGATTATTTGTCAAAATTTGCATGCATAAAATGAATTTAAAGAATTTAAGATCTTAAGTATTGATGTACAGTTATAACATCGTGTACTAATGAAAAAAAAAAAAATTATTTCACTCATGTTTCTACATAAACTGACTTAAATCCATTCAAACAAGTGTATTGTCCGAGAGAAGCACAACACATTTTATAGTCAGTAGCAAAATGTAAATTCTGAGTCATGAATGTATTATATAAACATACTTTCATCAGATAAATCCATAATAGCTATAGTACTATCATTAAGTTTAACACAGTACTGAATTTGTTTCGTATCATTTGATACATTTGAAATAATTTTAATGCCTTCTAATGGACCAAATTGAGTTCTTTCTGGAATTGACCTTCTGGCAAAAACTCCATATTCTAGAATTAGTTTTTAATAATCAGTTTTGTTTGGTTCATTAGTTTAATTGATTTATTTTCAAAATACCCAGACCATTGTCAGATGCATTGATCTTATTTATGTTTAAATATGTAGCTGGAAGGCTTGCTCGAGCTCGAGATAAAACAGTTTTATCCATTATTGCAACTGAAATTTTAAAATTATGTAAAATATAGTATTTTATTACTTATCACAAGTAGCTCTAAATCAAAATAAATTTTATTATATAAATATCATTAAAATTAAAATATTATATAAATAACATTAAAATAGTAAAACAAATTATTTGTGATTCTTCAAAATTGCTAGTTAAAACATATTTACAAGCCATAAACTTTCTGATACTATATTGAGAACTAATTCACATTCACTTAAATCAAGTTAACAGATATAATATAATTATTATTAAGGTAAATTTAAATACGATGCTACTACTGAACCAATGAACATTAGTTATATTATATCTGCTTTGATACTCAACAAAAAAGTTAAAGAAACTAATAAAAAAGACAATAATAGAATAAAATAGAATTAAAATTATCTAATAACACTTACAAACTTCATTAATTTGAGATGTATTGAGACATTTTGATCCTTTTTTAGACTTTTGTACTGCCTCCATTTCCATTTTCATATCTTTACAGTCTGCAATAAGTTTAGAGTCTATATTGACTCCTCCAATATCATTTATTATATTCATTTTCATATCAATGTCATCAATTACATCCTGATCCATATCTTCTTCTGGCATATTAAGACTATTGAAAACCACGTCAGTGGAGAGAATTGAATTTTTTTCTAAATCATCAGACATTTCAGTTTTTAATGAAATTTTTTCATTTTGATCAAGAACTATATGATCGTCATAATTAAGAGACAAATTTATATCCTGATTCACGTTTAGCATTTGATTTAGCTTGAAGTCAAGAAATGATTGATCAATGGCTAGCTGTCCGTCAAGCTGTTGACATACCATGAAATCCCCAGAAGATTGTTCTATTAGAAAGCCTTTACAAAATTTAAAAAGTTATAAAAATTGCAATAAGGCATAAAGATGACAATAAATTTGAAATATAATATCAAATAACATATAATATACTTAATATTCTAATTTACTTCATTAGAAATACAAATTAAACACACATTTATCATGATTAGTTAGAACTAAATGCTAATTTTTGCGCTTTAAATAATTTTTAAATATATTTGAAACTTACAAATGAACAATATACAATAATAAAAACACTCAATAATATACCTTGTGTTTTAAATCCATTTAAAGTATAGAGCCCTCCATCCACAACCAAAAAGTCTTCTCTTGGAGTCAGATCTCTATTCACATAGGTAATGCCGTTTTCACCTAATCTATCACCACATTGCTGGGGACCATAGTCGAAACTTGAAGAATTTTCATATAATTCAATTGGACTTACTGTCAAGTTATCTGAATTATTATCTGCAATGCTACCTTGCATTTGTTTATCTAATCTAGAATTTGTTTCATAATTCTTTAATTTTCTAATTGTATGTTTTTTATTAGCCATTTGAGAGCTAGGTTTCATATATTTTCGTTTGTTCTCAACAACAATTGGAGTCTGGGTAATTACATATTTTTTAAATGTTTTATTTAACGATGACACCTTGGGAAATGATTTGGCATTGACAAATTGTTGATTATTGTGCAAACATTTGTACATATTCCCATTTCCGTTTGATACATCATCACTCACTTGCAATTCTGGCAATAGATTTTCTGTAATTCTGCCCAATAAGGCACCATTTAAAGGACCAAATTCGCCTGAAACATTTGATTCAGGCATACGATTCAGACTTAAATTTGAAATATTATTCAAAGAATTCATCACTGGATGCAAATAACGTCCATTAACGTTTGATTTTGCAATTATTTGCCCATTGCTTAATTGTGTCATGTAATGGGAGTCAGAATCTGCATCAATGTTCATATATTCCAAAGTTTCATTGTGTGTTGGTATTTGCTGCGTACCATCTACTAAATTGGGATTAGAAATATTTGAAAAAGTCGTATTTGTTAAATTTATTGACAAATTGTTCTCTAATGTATTTAATGCAGACAGTTGAACATAACCATCAAAATGATTTTGTGATATGTTTTGTTCTTCATTTACTAAGCTTCTGCCATTCGTTTCATAATGTGTTGTATCTGAAGTATTCATTACTAAATTAGTATTTGTTAGTTCAGCTTTGTCTAGTTCTTTGTGTGAATTTCCTAGCAAGTGAGGAGGTGAAAAGTGTTGCGCAGCTTCTGTGTATCGAATTATATCAGTTTCATGAGTAACAGCAGAATCGTCATCGGTTGGCAAATACTGAACGGTGTTCAAATTAGGATCTAATGGAGATACACAAGATGATGAAAAAGAATAAGTATCTTCATTATGTTCAACCTAAAATGGATAAATCATAATATTTTTATATAAATAACATGACGATAAGATGCTTATATATATATATATATATATATATATATATTATTGATAAAACAAATAATATTTTGATTATTTAAATTTAAGCATAAAATCTATTAATAATTGTATGTCACATACCCCAACATACTGCATTTTTGATGACATTACAGATTCGTCCTGGGAAATAGTTTTATCATGTTTTTCAACTGCTGAAATATTTACTTGATTAATATGTTATTTAAATAAATTATATATTTTTTTATTGGATTTACCTCCTCTTTTACTTTTAGCTAAAAGTGGCAACGTATCCATTTCATATCAGCAATGGGTTAATGGCTAAATTCTATTTTATAGTTCTTTTTGGAAATGTTAAATGTATTTCCTTTTTTTAAAACAGTACTTTTACAGACATACTATTTGTAAAATACATTAGTAAAACTTTGAAAATAAAAAAGATTAGCTTTTGATGAGAAAAATTGATCAAACATGCAATTAAATCATGATGTTCAATAAAATATAAAATATTTACCAATTAATATTAACTCTTAAAATACAATTTGTCAAATTTTATTATAAATATACTGTAAGAGATAAAATAACACACGCTCTTTAAGAGAAATGTCAGATGTCAAAATAAATACAAACTCACAAAGCAGCCATGTTAAAATGTACAAAAACACTTTAAGGTGAGGTCTAAGTTACACCGTCTAACTCGTAAGAGTAAATAATTATTTGTAACATGAGCTAAATAAATCATTTTTAAAATCCTTTTTTTTATAAATTCCCTATTAATTAATTATTCGTTTTTTAACTACAAGACACAACACGAACCCAAAATCTGCTAATTTGACATACCCAAAACCCCATCCATGTATTATATTGTCTAGGACTCCATCTATGTACTAGGCTGACAGGTGACAGTAGTTACGTCAATTTTAGGTTACTTGAACTATGAGCGTTTATAATAATACACGAATTTAGAATCATGTTTGCTTTTAGATATATAAGTTTTCCACGTTTTCATTATAAAATCATTGCGTATACAACAGTCAGCAATCAGTTATCAACGAGATCGGTCGACATAGATTTTGTGAGACATAATGTTCAACAAGTATTATAAATTTTACATTAAATTTATTTCTATTTTAGGTCAATAATTTCCTACCTGCAACAAATGATTTTGAAACTGCAGAAATTTTGCGCAATGTCTTAGAAAATACACCTGATTTGCAAGATCATCCTCCTCGTTTATGGAAGAACACTTTTCAGATATTTCAGGATCAAGGTTTTGAAGTGAAAAAAATAATTTCTGCGATTGTTGCACATCCTAAATTATTATATTGTAAAGAAACACAAATCAATAATGCATTAACATTATGGAGAAAGTGTGATTTTGGAGAATCTCAACTCCATACAATGATAGAAAATGCTCCACAATTAATAGAAGCTTCTGAATACAATATACTTAATGGTATCCCAAGACTAGAATCAATAATAGGAAATAAAAAAAGAGTTTCTATGTTATTAATGAGATCTCCTAATGCAATACTTGAGAACTGGGATAATATAGAACAAAAACTAAATTATCTATTAAATGAAATGAAAATTGGCATTTCTGAAATAGTAAAATCATCAGCATTACGTCGTACTTTGTTTGAAATAAAATGTCGTCATTTATTTCTGGAGCGATTAGGAATTTTTGAAGTTCGGAAATTAAAAAATAACAAGGCAGAAATTTCCAGAAGCAATCCACATTTAAGTTTGATTAGTGATACAACAGATCATATATTTGCAAAAGAAATTGCAAAAACTAGCTATGAAGAATTTATAGTCTTCAAAAATATGTGCGACAAAGAATTTGAAGAATTTGATAAAGAAGAAGAAGAGTTTAATGTTGATAGTAATTAATCACAAATTTGTATTTAACTTTTGTAGCAAAATAAATTTTTATAAGTTCAAAACTATTGGTTCTGAAGCATAATCAAATAACGTCCAGTATCAGTTTGACTAGCATATATTTTTAAACCTTAGTATCACATATTAATACAAAATATATAAATGCTCTTTATATTGTAATGTACAAGCTGGATATATTCAAAACACGTTAAACTTTACATGCAATTTAATAATAAAATGATTATAGAAAATTTCAGTGCGATTTTCACATTATTAATGTCTCAATTCTCATTTCTTAAAACCTATTAATTCAAAATATGGTATAAATATTGTAATCTTTCGAAATTTGGGTATATGAATTAAAATGTACCAAGTTATAATGAATAGAATTATATAGTCCTTAGAATAAAAAAGTACTGATACTTAATATTTTACTGTGATTGATGTAAGAATTAACCTCAAAAAGTAATATATAAACCAAATCAAAAAAAAAAAAAAAAAAAATTCAAACATCATGGGTTAATAGAGGTTCCCCTTGCTTCCGATGAATACTTTGGCATGGAAGAAGCCACAGTATTGGATGTCCACGACCACAAACATCTCTTAATAAAGTTAATTTCGGCTTATGAGATCTCCAAACACCTGTTTGCTGTTTAGCATCAATAGCAGTTTCATCAGTGAATATAGCTTGCAGTTGATCCACAAGAATTGCACAAACAAAGAGTCCAAATAAAACAGATTCCAACAAGAGAAGTATGCTGTGCATCCTGTAAATAAATAACTATGAAGGAATATACTGTTTATTAAAATTAGTCACAAAAATTTAGTTCGTCAATATCTTATTATGATTTCCATTTTTAATGAATTTTATAAGCTGTTTATGAACTTTAAAATATCCTAAATTTTCTCATTCTTTATCTTTAGTTTATAATTTGCACACTATGAAATGTAATTTTATTTTATTTAAAAAAAATAATATATCCTTATTATTGTTATTTTGTATGTATTACGTTTATATGTTAAATATATTTTTATTAGCTTACATTCTAGCCTGCTTAAATGTTATTTCAGAAGAACATTCGGTACACTCATTTAACCAAGATCCTATTATTAGAATTATTGAATATACAGATAATAATCCTACGTAAACTAAAAACTGCATAAAATATTTTTGATTTCGTTCACCAACACAATTATTGATCCAAGGGCAATGATGATCCATACGCCTAAAAAAATCAATATTGAATTACATATTAAAGGTAATTTTATTGTTGAAAAAATTATTATACCTTATGCATCTTTTACATATTCTACAATGATGTGCTCTTGGTGGCCTATAAGTTTCACACCTCATACAAACTGTCCAATCATCAGATGATTTGTTGTGAGCACCAGATTGCATGTCAGAAAAATCAACTCGATTTTGAGTTAGCGGGACTGTTCCAGGATCTAAAAGAACTGCTTTCCAGTGTGCCATACCAAGGAGAAATATCACAGTATTAAATCCTACTACATGTATTGGTCCCCATAAACTAAAATAAACAATTTAGTGGATTTTTAGGATTATTGGCAAAAATATAAACAAAAGTAAATGTAGTATTTGAAAATAGTGAAAGTTGGTAGATATCTTGCCTGTTTGGCATAGATTGTAAAACTATCCAACGCGTTACCACATAATCAGCATAAAAGATAGCTAAATAAGTCACTATAATGCAAACTATACCACATGGATCATTCACAACCATATTTATTCAATATTATTTTAAACAAACATAAATTTTATTGTTTAGATTTTACAAAGAATATTTTTTTTAGATTGACCTAGTTTTAGATATAAGCAAAAATCAAATATATATGTCCAAACTTATATCCCATGATTTTTCTTATGTGATTCATGATCCAAAAACACTACTATTACAAAAAAATGCAAAAAGCATATGCCTTATTCAATTAACAAATGTTTATGGTTTTGACGTTTTCTTTATTGACAAGTGAAAAGAGCACGCACTTTCTTTACACTTTAGTACCAACTTAATAATACCACCAAATGAAGTAAGCTGAACCGCAAAAATTCAAAAAATTTCACACGAACATTTCCATTTGATATTCTGAGATAATTGATGATTTGCTGTAGCCTTATGGAAAATCACTAATTAATATTATATAAATATTATTTTAGCTGATGATTTTATGTTTTTCAACTATACTGCTGTAGTATCCGATGCGCATTCTCAGAAATGCATAGAGAGGCATACAGCTAAAAGAACATATCAGCGCTGTCATATTACATACGTCATTCTTTGATTTTTCACTTTTGGTAAGACATTTTAGTCATTTTATAGTGCATTGTAATAAGTTGCCTATTAGATAAGAAAGAAATAATAAAATAGGTAAAACAAATTTAATTTAGCTAGTCCGTAACAATTTAGTAAAAATGTTAGCAGTGATAAATCGAATTTTGGACTGGATAAAAAGTTTGTTTTGGAAAGAAGAGATGGAACTCACACTTGTAGGTTTACAGTTCTCAGGTAAAACTACATTTGTGAATGTAATAGCATCCGGACAATTTAGTGAAGATATGATTCCCACTGTGGGTTTCAACATGCGAAAAGTGACCAAGGGTAATGTCACAATTAAAGTGTGGGATATAGGAGGCCAGCCCAGATTTCGATCTATGTGGGAACGATATTGCCGCGGTGTAAATGCAATTGTTTATATGGTTGATGCCGCAGATCCAGATAAACTGGAAGCCAGCCGCAATGAACTCCACAGTCTCCTAGAAAAACCACAGCTTATTGGAATTCCAGTCCTTGTGCTTGGAAACAAACGAGATTTGCCAGGAGCATTAGATGAAACTGGTCTCATTGACCGAATGAATTTAAGTGCTGTGCAAGATCGTGAAATTGCTGTTATTCTATTTCATGTAAAGAAAAAGATAATATCGATATTACTTTGCAATGGTTAATTGCACACTCTAAAAGCCAGTCAGGGCATTAGAGTTTTTAACTAGATGTTTCATATATCATGAGATTAATTTACTTTTAAATAAGGAAGACATATTAATTTAGTTGTGAGCAATCATATATATATATATATATATATATATATATATATATATATATATATATAAACAATTTTAATTCATTTTATATAATAATTTATACATACATGAGCCAATACATTACTTGGTTAAATTAACCATATACTATAAGTTTTTATATAAAATTTATAGTAATGTATTAGTACATGTACATGTGTGCATGCATATTTGAACCAGATAAGATTTTATTTCAAATTTTCATTAATCGAAGCTCAATTGCAATAGTTAAATATTTATCTAAATTGTTGATATAACTTCCGAAAAAAAATTATTTATAGCTAACTAGGCGTTAATAAAATGCTATATTAAGTTAATTATGTAATTATTTTGTACATTATGTTATATATTAAATAAGATTATAAAGTTATTTTACCACTGCAAATTTGATGTATAACTTATTAAAGAGAATTTTGCAGTGATCAATAAATTATTCTAATAATGATAAATTTTATTTATAAATGATTATTACTTTGTTATTGCACTTGTAATATTATATTTAAGATCAATAGTTTGTAATTGCAAGTTTTACATACTTTTGCTTTGAAATTTGCTTTGTTATTAAAATTTATTTATATTTTAGGAAATAAATTCATTTTATATGCTATAATATCAGAAATCAAATATCAAAATAAAATTAAGAAAAAGAATTTTTGTATTATATTTTGAACCTATATTGGATATAAATATTATCATTACCATAGGTAAATCTATGGGTAAATGTTATATTTTTTAATTTACTCACTTAGAGAACTTCAGCTATTTTAAAACTATCTATGATATTTGCTTTTGAATATCTACTGTATATTTGATATAGCCATATTCAAAAACAACTAGTACATAGAACATGATTTTTTTAATGCAACGGACAAATTAGCAAACTTTATAAGATTAACGAAATAATAATTCTTTCAGATAAAATATTTATAGGATAGATATTAAAATCATATAAGTTTTTTTGAGATTACTTACTGAGATATCTCAGATTTAGGGAAAATTTTAACAAAATTTTAGGAGTTTGCACAAAGTTGTGGTAATTGCTACAAATTTAAAAATTGTAAACAATCCTGCCGATGTCTTTTTAAAATAAGAGATTAAAAAAAACAGATTCAAAGGTTTTTATCGGAAATTCGTTGAGCGTGAGTAAAATGTCATTAGGGAGATTATAATCTTGCAAATATATATGTATTCATATATTTCTTTAATTATTGGCCTCGCTTATTATTACATTTAACCACTTACAAAATTTTTATTTTCACAATATATTGATTTTTACATATTTCATTACCCATCACTAACATTCGTTTATTTTTCAGATCAAGGGCATTTTTTTTATTTCACTTTATTTCAGCAATCAGAAATACAAAATTAATTTCTACTATACTATATTATATTATACTACTTACTATATTATATTTACAAACACTGTTATATACTCTCGTACTATTATATACACAAATACTATTACTCATTCACGTACTATTATATTTACAAACACTGTTATATACTCTCGTACTATTATATACACAAATACATTACTCATTCACGTACTATTATATTTACAAACACTGTATATTCTCTCGTACTTTATATATACACAAATACTATTACTCATTCACGGTACTATTATATTACAAACACTGTTATATACTCTCGTACATTATATACACAAATACTATTACTATTCACGGTACTATTATATTTACAAACACTGTTATATACTCTCGTACTATTATATACACAAATACTATTACTCATCACGTACTATTATATTTACAAACAACTGTAATAACTCTCGTGACTATTATATACACAAATACTATTACTCATTCACGTACTGTTATATTTACAAACACTGTTATATACTCTCGTACTATTATATACACAAATACTATTACTCATTCAGTACGTATATTATATTTACAAACACTGTTAATACTCTCGTACTATTATATACACAAATACTATTACTCATTCACGTACTATTATATTTACAAACACTGTATATACTCGTGTACTATTATATTACACAAATACTATTACTCATTCACGTACTGTTATATTTACAAACCAGGGTATATATCTCGTACTATATATACACAAATACTATACTCATTCACGTACTATTATATTTACAAACACTGTTATATACTCTCGTACTATTATATACACAAATACTATTACTCATTCACGTACTATTATATTTACAAACACGGAGTATACTCTCGTACTATTATATACACAAATACTATTACTCATTCACGTACTATTATATTTACAAACACTGTTATATACTCTCGTACTATTATATACACAAATACTATTACTCATTCACGTACTGTTATATTTACAAACACTGTTATATACTCTCGTACTATTATATACACAAATACTATTACTCATTCACGTACTATTATATTTACAAACACTGTTATATACTCTCGTACTATTATATACACAAATACTATTACTCATTCACGTACTATTATATTTACAAACACTGTTATATACTCTCGTACTATTATATACACAAATACTATTACTCATTCACGTACTATTATATTTACAAACACTGTTATATACTCTCGTACTATTATATACACAAATACTATTACTCATTCACGTACTGTTATATTTACAAACACTGTTATATACTCTCGTACTATTATATACACAAATACTATTACTCATTCACGTACTATTATATTTACAAACACTGTTATATACTCTCGTACTATTATATACACAAATACTATTACTCATCACGTACTATTATATTTACAAACACGTTATATACTATCGTACTACTATATATACACAAATACTATTACTCATTCACGTACTGTTATATTTACAAACACTGTTATATACTCTCGTACTATTATATACACAAATACTATTACTCATTCACGTACTATTATATTTACAAACACTGTTATATACTCTCGTACTATTATATACACAAATACTATTACTCATTCACGTACTATTATATTTACAAACACTGTTATATACTCTCGTACTATTATGTACACAAATACTATTACTCATTCACGTACTATTATATTTACAATCGCTGTTATATTACTCTCGTACTATTATGTACGCAAACACTATTACTCATTGACGTACTATATTATATTTACAGAAATACAAAAATAATTTCTGATTGCTGAAATAAAGTGAAATAAAAAAAATGCCCTTGATTTGAAAAATAAACGAAAGTTAGTGATAGGTAATGAAATATGTAAATAATTATTTTTATTTTTATCACTGAAATTTATAACTAACTTCGTGCAGTTTAACTATATTTTTACTCATTCTATAATATTTTACCATCATTATCTTGTTTATTTCAATTTTTTTCTTCGTATTTTTTTTTTATTTAAATTTCCATTTGATTATTACTGATGCTACAGCCATTTTATTTTTATGTTTACTTATCTATGGCTACAGCATACAAATGATAACGGATGAAATATGCAGTCATAGATAAAAGAAGAGTATGCAGCATTCAAATTTTGAACCATTTTCACGTAACGGCTGACGCCATCTGCCGTTCTTGTACTTGAAACTTGGCAGCACTGTCTGTCTATGGGATCGTGTTTCTGACGATTGTAATTCTGTTGTCAATTCAGGAAGGGTTTTCTAGTCGATATTTATTGTTGCAGGAACTCCAAAGTGAAACACAATGGCAAAATTAGTGACTCAAGGAGCAGGACTAATATCCAGTAAATATATCTTATTAATTAATTTAGTGTTTGTGAAATTTGTTGTTACATAATAAAATTTCCCATTTACAGCTGCAATTGCTACCGCTCGTCCAAAAGTTTTTCTGTTTTTGAAATACGCTAAAGTGGAACTAACTCCACCTACTCCAGGAGATATTCCTCAAATAACCGCTGGACTGAAACGCCTTGTTCAATCTGCTAAAACTGGGGGCTACAAAAATCTAACTGTTCGACAGGCATGGTTGAATACTCTGGTTGGAGCTGAAGTTCTTTTCTGGTTTTATATCGGGGAGTGCATAGGAAAACGTCACCTTGTTGGTTACAATGTTTAAATTTTGTGAAAAATATTATATAACAGTAAATATATACTAGATACCATAGTTTCGAGAAGTTTTAATCCATCATCGATGATTAATTTAGTTTCAGATTTATAAACAAGGAAATTATTATAACATAAGTTCATTAGTAAAAGCAGTCATTTAGATAACGTTTTATTGGTCAATAAAATATGAAAAAATTCAACACAAATTCTTAATAAATGATGATAACTAATGACAATATAGTACTATGCTCAATTGAACTGAATATGGTGATTTAACAGAACAAAATTCTATAAGATTATTTTTCTTGATCATGATAATATTTTCATGACTTCATTTCAACTATTTCGGAAGACTTAAAAATGTATTTTATAAATTTATATGCTTATAATATGTTGTAACACATTATAAGTAAAGAGTAAAGATATAATTAATATAATATAATTGGTCAAGAAATGAATAATATGTATAATTAGTTAAAAAATGAAAAAGATCTATATATATATTTACCTTGAAAGTATGAAGAAAAATAATCTATTTCGAATAAATGCAAGCTCAATACAAATTATTTTATGAATAAAAACAGTGTTGACATGAGATTTAAATAGCTCATGAGATAATATTAATGCAGTCATTGTAATTAAACTACAGAAGAAACAAGCAAATTATTTTGTAATATAAATTGTATTCTACATTAATCCTGTAACACTTTGTATTGTACCCCCATATTTCTTTGCTACGTTTAGTTGTGCAACAGCAGCATCTTTTAAAGAATACAAATGGGTCATTTCCATTTCAGTTTTTGCTAGGCATAATGCTTTTTCAAACATTTCAATTGCACGTTCAAGATTCCCTCGTTGAACCTCAATAGTTCCTAAAGTTTCATAGCCAAATTCACATTTGGGATCAAGTGAAATAGCTTCATTAATCAATTGAACTGCAGTATCAACATCACCTGTCCATTGCAACCTTAGTAATCCTTTATGAACATAAACAATAGCATTATTAGGCTCAATTTCAATGGCTTTAGAGAAATATGAATCTGCTTTGGAGTATTGTCTTTGATCACAAAGCACTTGTGCATATAAAGTATAGCACTCTATACAGAGAGGGAATTTTTTAATGGCATTGTCAAAGGCACCAATTATTTCTTTTGCCTTATTCATGTCCTTAACAGCAAAAGCATATCGATGGTCTGTATATATTTTTTGGACATAAGCAATAGGAAAATTTGGATTCAGGTTTACTGCCTTTTCAAAATCTGACTTAGCTTCTTCAATTGCACTCATTAAGAGATGTACCTTAAATAATTAAATAAAATAGTCATTGAAAATATAATTGAAACTCTTAAGTAAAATTCCATAAATTTATTATTGTGAAATCAAAGTATCATTATCCTTACTTTTGTGAAAATACTATATTCAAATCAGTAAAAATAATTTTCTCAATTCAAAGTCATTTCTTAAAAATTGCAATAAATATGATATCTCATATTGTAGGGTTATTAGATAGATTAACAACTTTATTAATGCTATTATGTTATAATATTCAGACTTACTTGCCCTCGATGATGGTAAACATCCGGGTTTTGATCATCTACTTCAGCGGCAGTTTTAAAATCTTGCAAACATTGGTCAACCTTTTCTTGTTGCATATATAAGGTAGCCCTTTTAATTAATGCATTTACCTTAACTTTCTTAGGAGCATCTTGATTGTTTATAATAGTGTCAAAATCTGTCAGTGCCTCATTATGCTGCCCAACTAATAAATAAAATGTTGCACGTAGTACTAGAGCTTCCATTTTATATTGTGCCTCAGCTTCGCTATATTCAATTTCTTCTGTACATGCAGGAATAATAGAATCATAATCTTCTTTCTTCAAAGCAGTTTTGAGCACGAATAAAGCCTTTGAGAGGTTCTTCACTACTAGGATTTGTAATAGTAATTTTACATGGATCCTCAGAAAATGAAGAAAAATAAGACTTTATAAAATTAGTAGAAGGCATTACAGGTTTTCTATTTTTTATACTCTCTTGAGCATGCGTGCGACCTAATTGTTTCAGAATACGATCAGCAGTTATTAGAGATGTTTGATTTTCAAAACCTTCAAGTATGCAAACGGCTGTTATATCTTCTAAGCACTCTTCTAACTCATTTGTGTTTTCATATGCTCTAGCTCTGCGAGATAGCGCTTTTATGTACTTAGGATTCAATTCTAGGGCCATAGTACATTCTTGTTTTACTTTACTCCACCTCTTAAGTTGCTCATATGCAGCTGCACAATTTTGATAATATGTTGCTATATCTGATTTTTTATCTGTTGGGCATTCTTCGATTGCTTTGCGATACATTAAAATAGCTTCATCATATTTACCATCTTTAAAAAGCATGTTTCCCTTATTTTTATAACTCTTTGCCTTTTCAAAAGGATCTTGAGATGTTGTGCTTTGTTCTTCAGCTGCAGATTCATCCAGAGATATTGATTTTTTATCTAAGCTCAATTTTTGTGCTGCATCGGGTTTATTTTTATTAGAACTATTTCTCAAATAGAGATAACCTAAACCGATAGCTACCGGCGCGCCCATTAATATTGCTAATTGCCATGATGGAAAAGTAGAACCGGTGCTTCCACTTGTCATAGTAATTTTAATCCCTTTGGAACACTCTAGATTTTTACCTCAAATTTTTCGCGTAAAAACGAACCGTTTTAAACTTGTCACAGAATCACCGCCTATCCATTGACGTTTCTATTTAAAATACGCTAAGTGACTGAAGGCGTTTCTAATTAGTATATAAAATAAAAAAGCGATAATTTAATAACAAGTTAAAATGACAAGCATGATTGTCATGACCCACTATAGATTGCTCGAAATTATTTAAGCAGTTGATATTAATGATGAAAATGTATGAATTTATGTAATAACTTACAGAACAGTATTGAACCAAATAGAATAAAGTTATTGAAGTATTAAGTCGTACGATATGAGTTTCATTAGAGTGAAATTATATTTGGAATGATTTATGAACATTTGCAGGTTAATTTTATATACGAATTTTAATCGTTAATATTTAATTAACTGAGCGCACATTAACTAATACACCAATTGTCTGTATCTTATAATACATACATTATCGTATAATAACAAAAATTATGTTACCTAACATTATAGATTTTTACACGCTCTGTTATCTGAGAAAACGTTGATATACATTTTCAAAATTTGCTAGTGACATCTAATGTTATTTCCTGAAAATAACATAACACAATTGACATTAATATTTTTTATTTAAGAACAACACCTTGACAGCTTGACACTGTCTTCATGTTTTGACACATCACAAAACCTTATCAGGGCATTGAATTTTGGAAATAAATATAAAATGCAATTTGATTTATCATAACGTTGTGCTATTAATAATATTAATTATTTTATTTTGCTTATCAAATTTAATTGAATAACATATCAGGTTTTTGTTTTTGAGAAAGGCAATGCTAATTTCACTATGGATTCAAATAATGGAAATGATTCATGGTCTGCATAAAATATTTCATGTGATACATTTTTATTAAGCACATTTAAATAAATTGTTTATTTACTTTAGGTTGGCAGATTTGGAAACTGCTTTGGCCGATGATTGCACTTGCAATGATATATACACCATTTGCCGAGGTAAATTGATTCCTGAATATTTTCGACCTGCTGTATGGAAAGCTTGTTTGGATATAAAACGAAAAGGAAACCAAATATCACAATTCAATGAAATATTTGATTTGCCAAATCAGAACAGTTTACGAGAGCATTGTCAGCAGTTTGTTGATAAGCTAGGAAATGAGGAATATGATAAAGTATCTGTGGTTTCTGATTTAGAATCTGTTTTGACATTTTATTGTAAAAATAGACATCTAGAATATGAATCAAATAATGGGTGGATAGAAATTTTATTACCCATACTTGCATTAAAATTTTCACTTTCCGACACCTATAACTTGTTTGAAAATATAAGAGATAGTTACATTCCAAGAGGGTGTGAGAATAATGGGAATACATTTCACGTATTTCGATTATTACTTCAATATCATGATCCTGAGTTGTGCTCCTTTTTAGATACAAAGCGCATTAAACCAGATTCATATACATCTCAATGGTTTTTGACATTATTTGCATCTACTTGCAGATTGCCAGTTCTCATGTCTATGTGGGATTTGTATTTTCAAAGGGCAGATCCTTTTTTTGTTTTTTTCCTAGCATTGATCATGATAGTAAATCAAAAGGATCAAATTTTACTTTTAAAAAACAAATCTAAAGAATATATTACTGAAACTTTAGCAAATATGCCTTGTGAGTTAGAATTAGAAGATATTGTAGACTTTTGTAGTTTAGCTAGTTATTATGAGAATAAAACTCCAAAATCATTCAAAACAAAATTACTAGCAGTATTATATGGAACACATGTGAAAGATGATGATTTTGTAATTTCTCAGGCGCTATGTCTCCCTGTTTCAGTTGAAGAATTAGTTGACAATTCATCCCCAAATACCCAAAATTCATTAGAAATTGTCCGTTTCTTCCTTGTTGATTGTCGACCTGCAGAACAATATAATGCTGGGCATTTTCCTACAGCTTTTCATTTAGATTGTAATCTTATGCTACAAGAGCCTGCAGCATTTTCTGTTGCTGTTCAAGGTTTGTTATCTGCACAAAGACAAGCACTTGCTGTGAATTCACAAGCTGGCGGAGAACATTTATGTTTCCTTGGATCTGGGAATTTAGAGGAAGATCAGTATGCACACATGGTTGTAGCATCATTTCTGCAGAAACAAACACAATTTGTGTCATTACTTACAGGAGGCTTTGCTGCTATACATAAATATTTTGGAAATCAAGTTGATGATTATTTAAGAGACCATGATATTGCTTTGTGCAATATTTGTGCGAAGGAAGGAAGGTCACAGTTTAATATGAGCAAGTCAGATAAAAACTATTTAGCACCTTCTGGAGATTTACTTGGAAAACTATCTGCTGCTATGAAGAGCAAATCAGCCGAAGTTAAAGGAAAACTGTTTGACTATATAGTGAATCCTAATGTAGGACAAAATACTGTAATTACAGATAGACATGTTTTGAGCAGTGAAAGAAATGGTAAAAGGTATAGAAACGTAGCACCTGTTTTTAGTATCGACGATGAAAATGATGATAGCACTGTATCCGAACCGCCTTCGCACAAAGAAGAGAAAGAAATTATTAATGTACAAGAATGGTTGAAAAAGCCAGAAGTAATAAAATCCTTTAAATGTCAAGAAGTGCAATTAAATGGATATATGTATGATAGTCATTTATTAGTGACTAACACCCACATGATTGTTTTAAGAGATTTGCAAGATGCAAAAGGAAAAGCTCAAGTTATAGTTAGCCGACCGTTATCAAATATTGTCAAAATAACTGCAAAGAAACGTCATAGAGACTTAATTACATTTAAATATGGCATTCCAAGTGGTGACACATTACTTATATCAGATATGGATAAGTTTTTAATTCCAAATGCTAGTGATGCAACAACTATTATATCTAAGCAAATTGTTATGCAACTTAATAGAGATAGTATAGAATGATTTATATCTATATTTTTGACCTGATTTACAAAAAAATATTACAAGTTAGTCATCTGTAAATTATTTTTGCAATAAATTGAATATATGTGTTATATTATAATTAGTTATTATTAATATATGAATAACAATAAATTAAATGAACAAAGATAAATTCGATGAATAATTATTTTATTGATTACATAATTACTTCACTGCATTTTTCTGTATAATGTATCTGTTTCTTTATGAGAGAGTAAATAATATAGATACTTGGTTTTTCAATTCTTTTCTGAAAACATTAAAGCATAAAATTGTGATGATACTGAATGTTTTATATAAGTAAATAATAATAAGTTTGCAAATCATTATGGCAAATAATACATTTTGCTAAAAAGTTCTGAACTATTTGAAATTTGTATTCTATAAATCTTCTGCGGTTTTTATTGATATCATTTTCTAGTCTGGGGAATTTGATGAAGTTGTATAATAATATTATTTCCATGACTTATTTTTTGAAACACTTGGCAAAAATATAAAACTGTCTGGTCCATTTGGTCGAACCATACCGACTTTGTTTGAGAGCTGGAATAACGTTAATTGGAATTTAAGATTGATAGGAGAATGCTTCTGCCGCTCGAAATTAATACCCCATGTTAAAATTCGTTCTGAGTGGAATAGCAACCCTTTCTAGTAAGAAAATATAAACCTTTCATTTAAATGAAAAGTTTATATTTTCTTACCTGAACAACAAAAATTAACAATATCATTTAATTAAATTTTGCCTTATATTTGGAATAAAAAATATATTCCTTAATAATAACAAACTAATCAATTTTACAATTGATTTCAAAAAATTACTGCAAAATCTTAAACATGTTGAAACTGCAACTATGCGTGTATGGTATCAACTACATCAGTATAATGGCATGCATAAGGAATATTTCTTTGAAGTACATATTTGCTTAAGTTTTTGTAAGCTATAACATATCTAATTGTCATTTAAAAGTTCTAATTACATAAAACAAAGTTTATATATACTATATAATTGATAACATGATATTCAAAAATTACTGCAAATCCTGTAACAGTTAAACTTTTAAACTATTGTTAAAACCCGAGTGAGAAGTTTTCTCGACGTTTCCAAGAATTCTTAATCCAAGAAACTTTTCTTAGTTGGAGCAAAATGCTGTTTTGTTTTTTTGCTTTATTTTTGGAACCCACAATTATATATTCAGCACCTAAAAAGGTTTGCAATTCCTGTCCGCTGAGTGATCTGTATTTGACAAATTTGCGGTCGGTGCAAATATGTGAAAACTGGGTGTATCTTTCGCATATTATAATCTATTGCGATTGTTCATTCTTGTAGTTCATTAATCTTTTGTAATTAACGAGTAGAGAATACTATAATTTTACTCATTGTTTCAGTACATTATATACAAAGAGAACTGCATTATTGAAACACAGAATCCGTTTATCATGACTCGTTATTATAACGTAGTAACAGTGGTGTGCTAATATTTCTTTTGTCGGAACGCTAAAATTAAAAAACCGGTTTATAAACCGGTTCAAAAACCGGTTTTCATGTTTGTTCCGGTTCCGTTCAAAAAGGAAAGAAACAAAAATCATTACAAAACTTATTTTATGCACATATATGTATGTTTATTACAATAATAGGTACATTTAATAAAAGTTAGTTGAATTATAATTTATAAAATTTACTTATTAAATCATTTTCTGAATGTTAGCGATTTAAATTAACGACGTTCCGGCGCGTTCTGGCCCGACAACACCACTGCGTAGTAACACTATCAGGAAAAAGTCTGATGCAGCAATGCCCAAAAATTATAATTTATTAATAGCCAAAATATGTAATAAATATTTATATGTAATAAAAGTTTTTATTGTTCATAGACCATGGATTTTGAAATTGGTTCGTTTTATTGTATAAACGATTACTGGCACAAAAAATGCATAAAAAACATCCCTTGGACCCATTCATTGTCCTTGAAAATCTCTGCAGTGCACGAGCATTTAGTATAAATATTCCAACACATTGCCCTATTTTGAAATATTTACAATTTTATCTAACCTATCGTGGAATGCAGATTAATGTTAATTGGCACTAAATAGCAACAGCAAACTAAAGTGTGTACAGACTTTGAGTAATTAGTGATAAGTACGTAAATTTACGTTTTAGAAGTAAAATTCAAGAGCAGAAGTTTCTTTCTCTTTCGAATTGGCTGCTGTATCGATCGCGTTATAGCACAGGTTCATTTTAATTCGGTGCGTTCATACGCCAGGAAATAATTCAGTCAAAATTTTAAGCTAGAATTTTGTTAGCTTTTAATTGGCAATCAATAAAGCTAAATTAAAAAAATGTCATTTTGCGGTCAAAAATGTTTATTGGGCATATGTATATCAAATGACCAGATATTTTATAGAGATTTTAATAATGTGTACACATTTTGTGTGAATTTTTCTGGGTTCCGTACTAAGATTTTTAATTACGGTACGGAAAGTTCCAGGAATTTGCCTTAAGGCACGATGCCATGCACCCACTAGTTAACTTCCCGTAGGGTAAGTTATAGTAATTTCAAAGGGTTCTGAATATTTTGGCATACCTTAGAAAAAATGGATGTATGTGTGTGTGTGTATGTGCGTGTGTGTGCGGATACAAATTTTCGTCGACGATTCCGAGAACACCGATCAACCGATTTAAATAATTTAAAAAACATTTGATTCGTACTGATAAGAAGACGTGCTGATTAGTTTTTGGTAGAGGCAGGTCTAGCCGTTCCGAAGATACGGGGCAAAAAGTGCCAAAAACGGTAACACGGTTTTTAAGAGAACGGAGCGTCCGATTTTAAAAATTCAAAAAACATTTTACTTGTATTGACAAGATAAAGAATTGATTGAATTTTCATGAAGGCAGGTCTAGCGGTTTCGGAGATCTAATGAAAAAAGTAAAACAAAAAGCCATTTGGCGGTCAGAAATGATCATTAGACATATGCACATCAAATTATCAGATATTTTATAGAGATTTTTACAATAAGTATGAATTTTGTTTACATTCCTATGGTTTCCGTACCAATGTTTATCTGTAAGACGGCGACGCGGCTTTGACATTTCGTCTCTATGCAGTTAAAGCAGTACGATTGCTTTGAAAAAAAGTTCAGAATATCCAAACTATGCCAAAATAAAGAAAACTTTTTTTTCAAACAATTTTTTTTTGTTTCTCAAAAATCTAATTTCTTCGAAGTAAATTTTTTTCAAAAATGTTAATCGCTTTTAAAAAAATAACAATTTTTGGTACAGGAAGTTCCAGCAATTTGCCTTAAGGCACGATGCCTTAATTGCCTTAAGACAGAATTCCACTTACAGCTAGTTTTATTTTAGATTAGGGAACGATGAACGCAAACGTTTTTCTATGAACGTATCGTATCGTATCGAATGCTCGTAGCCCGTAGTACGATTTTCGGTCGCGTTTGCGCTGCTTGATAGACGGCGACGGCAAAGCGAGGAAGCGAAGTCACACCTATCTTCACGCGAGACCAATGTCACCGGCTTAACAATCTATCAAATTTGCCGGGCCGTCGACTGGACAATTGTTTCACAAATGATGTTATTTTGTCCAACAATAAATAATAGTCCCAGTGTTTTAAAACGTCAGCGATACGCTGCAAAGTGTACAAGTGTCATATATGTTCTGTAGTCGTGTCTGCATATCGATCCGTTTTGCCATTGCCTTGAAAACGCCATATTGTATGTACTTTACGTAGTTATATCCAACTTTTGAATTAAATGTGTTTTAAGTGTTTAATGTTATTTTCCTAAATCTTGTATTTGATTAGTAACCCTTAATCATGGATAGAAGGAAGCTTTCCACTTCTGGTGATACTTTATACCAAATATTAGCCATTCCAAAAACTGCCACTCAAGATGAAGTTAAGAAAAGTTATAGGAAATTGGCGTTGAAGTACCATCCTGATAAGAACCCAAATAATCCAGAGGCGTCTGAAAAATTTAAAGAAGTAAACCGAGCCCATATGATACTTAGCGATGTCAGCAAAAGAAACATATATGACAATTATGGATCTTTAGGAATGTATATAGCTGAGCAATTTGGCGAAGAAAATGTTAATGCATACTTTATGGTAACATCCACTCGATGTAAATTACTATTTTTGTTCTGTGGTCTTATTACTGGATGCTATTGTTGTTGCTGTTTGTGTTGCTGCTTTAACTTCTGTTGCGGCAAGTGTAAACCTAGACCTCCAGAAGACTCTGGTGATTACCATACATTAAATCCAGATGTAGCTGAGTTACAAAGAGGTGACCCAGTTACACAACAACCAGGTCCGCAAGGCGCTGCTGCCTCACCCGGAGCAACATTTGCAATGCCCGCTCCTGGAGCAACAGAAAATACTAATTTAAATCCTAGCGATTGGCCAATTTATACTCCTGATATGTCAGGGGGTGCAGCTACAGTTACCAACGATCCCCTGAACCCACAGTGGTAGATGACTTATGATTGAAAAGCAAATATATTAAGTATTTCAAACACATCTATATTTATGGCATGTTACGATTCTTTCCAACTATGTAATTTTAATCAACTCTTCCCATGATGTTACTTGTAATTTATTTGCTAAAATAGTGTTTCATTTTGGCAAGTAATACAATGTGGATCTTACTACTAAATAATGACGACAGGTTTTATTGGCACAATTCTAAAATATATTTATATACTTTAGACAAAAGAAAAATACATAAATAATCCTGGTTCTGAATTAGGTCAAGGTGTTAAAATAATTGTCAAAATATGTTCTAGTTAACTTTCTGATTTCTGAAAGTGAGTCAAATGATATTTGTATTATTTCATATTACATGGAATGTTTTGTATTGTATTTTTAACTTAGTCATTTATTGTTAAGCTTATAAGTAAAGTAATTTTAATGTTTATAATATGACTATTTAATTACAGTTTATTGCATTCTATTGTTAATTTTCTTATTTGGTTTGTGCAATAATTATTGCATTTTAAACGGAATCGAATACTATGAAATAACTTGTGAAAAAAAACATGTTTTGTTCATAATAATGACCATCAATAAGTAAAACGTGTTATATATAATAAGAAGAGCATACTATTAACCTGAAGACAATAATTTTTTCTTGCAAATATTTGCATCATGTTCATTAATATTTGTAGATATGCAACTTTTTATCTAGTCACGGTTAAAATGATAAAATTGCACATTCCAAATTTATTTTTGGAACTACATTGATGAATTTTATATTATAACCTACATTTGGTTAATTACATAACACAAAGTATTTGAGTATTAACATAAAAATGTAAATGTAAAAAACCACATTGAAATTAATGTTGTTTATTTGCAGAATAATCAAAATTTTTGTGATACTTTTCCACATTTAATGTTTAATCATTAGTATATATTATATATACTAACATACACCGAAATTGTTTATTTTGATATATTGTTTATTTTTAGAAATTTCTATATAAACAAATTTGAAGCTATACAAACTTTGTAGAGTTTAATCAGTTATTATCAGTTATTTTTTTCAGTTTAATAATTGATTTCATATTTAAGTTAGACTTTTTTATTCTAAAAGATAAAAGTAATTTTCAAACAGTACATAAAAAATTATTGTATAAACTAACTTATTGTTAGTTAAAGTTGGCAAGTTTGTGAAAGAATGTTTTTTGTAGTTTTATTTAGTGTATTTGCTTTGAATTGGATTTCATTTGAAAAACTTATTTATCTTCAATATTGAAGAAAATATTTAGACTTGATTTTTAAGTATTAAAAGGTACGTCTGAGTAAAATTTATGAAAAATCTGTATACTGAAGGCACTCGTGCATTTAACAATTGTAAAATAAATATCAAGTGAAAGTGATGTAATTTTTAGAATTTATTTGAGATTGTTATCTGAGAATAAATGTATACTCAGAAAATTTTGTTCGTGATATATTTCATTTAATATTAAGAACTACGTTTCCATAGTTTTTTCATTCATAAGTGGTGTAAAAATAAACGTCTTTTATTGATATATTTTTTCAAAATATACATAGGAAGTTTATTTTAATAAATATTTAGTAGATTTCAACCATATCACTGGCGGAAAATTATGAACTAATTGCCATTTTTCATTATAGTTTATCATAGCTGATAATATTTCATAAGTATTTATTAAAACACAATACAGAATGTTTATGAAATAATGATATTTGCTTGATTTGCGTTTAGATTCACGATTTCTTAAATCTTTGGCCTAGTTACATGGTAAGGCATTACAGGTCAATATGATTCACATTGAACTTTTCGATTAAATATGTTCAATATTCATTAAGTACATATGTTAATGTAGGAATACCAAGTTTAATGTAATAAATGTAATTGGTAAAAATTATCTATTTGACAGATATTATTAACAATCGTTACTGTATCATAAATATGGTAAGAATTAGATGTATATCATCTACTGTATAATATTAGAACATGAATTACAAAATAGTACCAAGTTATATACATATATGGAATATATAAATGATTCAAAATCTATAATGCAAGTTCTGTATCATTGGGCAAATATATTACTTCAAAAATATGTTGACTATTTTATTATTTATTTATTAAGTTTACTTCATTCGATTGGTTCATAAAGCAGTTGTTTCATTTTTAATTAGAATATATTTGATATAATACAGGCTAATATTTAATTATTGGTTGAATCAAATGAGTATATATATATATATATATATATATATATATTTTTTTTTTGAAAGTTTGTGCGCTATTTTTATGAAATATTTTCAACAAACTTTTTGTTAGACAAAATGTAGAGGTCTACAACATAGTTTTTTTTTTAGTTTTGTTAAAAATTGACACTTACAGCTTACAAAATTTAAAAAATCTATTTTATATATGTTCAAATATCTGCCTTTGCCAAAAATTAATCAGTACGTCTTCTCATCCAAGGAAATCGAATGCGATTTGAATAATTCAAATGGGTTGATTTACGCTCTTGGAATTTTTGATCAAAATTTGTATCCGAATGTACATACATACATACTGCGCACACATACATATACATCCATTTTTTCTAAGGTATGCCAAATGTTCAGAAAACCTTAAACCGTAAAGATATGCCAAAATGTTAATTTACGATTTTTTTTAAATATAAGAATGTCCAGAAAAATATTTTATGAAAACTTCCATTGTTTAAATTTCATAACAAATTTATTTTCACTAGCAATTTACTGGATATTTTTATTTTCTAGTATAAATTTGTTTCTAAAAATTTCATTTATCAGATCCGATGTTTATATCGAACGGAAGTTTTACCATATTTTTACCTTGCGTAGCCGTTGGAAATGGGAAAAAGTCGAACTCTTGGGAAAACAAAGGGGTTTCTCGGAGATGGGAGCTTTTGAATTATGGGACATTTATGCACCATTTTATTGAATAAATAACTACTTCGTACATGTTGAGGCTGCGGTGATATAATCCCAAATGGAGTCAGCGCATGTTCAACTTTTAAAATAAAAATATCAATTTTTATTTGAAATACTAACGACTAACTGAAAATAATGATCAATAAACTTTTATAATAATTTGTAATAATGAGACCTCATTACTGACCTCAGTAGTGAGCAAATTACTGAGTAAAAAGAAAACAAAAAAATAACTTTCAAGAGTGTTTGAAACTAGGTCTTTGACTACAGTTTGAAATTATGAATCAATACGTTGAAAATGTTCCAAAATTTAGTAGGAGCTCAATGCCAAAACAGGATATAAGAGATGCCTTTTACTTACTTAAGAAATGTAAAAGATGCAGAATAGATAAATAAAATTCTACTTAGAAAGAAAAACATTAAAGGGTCGCATGGAACCCTAGATTTACGTTGTCCCTCAGCCGATTGAAAAAGGTTAAACATAATGAATATACAAATTTTCCATCTATCTTCTACGCGATGTTTTTATATATATTATTATAGAAAAACTTTTAATGCAGATTTATACAAAATATATCGGTAAATAATTAAAATATAGCAAGTTTCTTCAAGAGCTTATCGCATTTACATGCTGATGAAATAATGATCGTTGAAGCGAATTTAATATTTTCGTACTTTCCAGTTCGCGACCGCGAAGAAGTTATTCGTAAACTTTCATGCAAAGTTAGGAATCCTTTGAATATTCTTCACCTCGGTGACATTTTATAAATTGACGGGCGATATGGGGCCTTACATGTATGTATTTGTAATAGGGGCGCTGGTAAAAATTCTATTCCTGCCGTTTTAAAATTTTAAGTTTTAATTTATATATAATTATAAATATAATTTATTGCATATTGCATAAAGTACAACTAATATCATAAGCTTCTTACAATATTCATTCTATTTAATTTTGTGCAAATTTAAAGTATAATTTATATTTAATATATTTTGTGTTGAAATTTAATATCACACAGTTTCATCAAAATTCCAGAAGAGTTAATCTGAGGTTTTCCTTGTAAGCTACACTAATACGTTGAATTGTACACAATACCACTCCGGCGGCGGCCTAGTCCGAAAAGTGAAAGTGTCTTTCCGCTTACTTTTCTTTCCAAAACTCGGATTGAGTTTGGTAATGGAAAGAGGGTAAGCACCAATTTGGAGGAAACAGCGAAATTTTCTCATTTTTGGACACAATTCGTACAGCGTACACTTGCGACTTTAAGTACAGGTGTGCAAATTGCCTCAATACTACCACCTGAGGCACCGAACTGTGTCAATTGTGGGAGTCAACACGCTGCCTACTATTCCAAATGCGCTTTACACTCCTTAGCTTTCTGGCCTAGTCTAAGGTGAAAGTGCCTTTCCGCTTACTTTTCTTTCCAAACTCGGATTGGGTTTGGTAATGGGAAGAAGGTAAGCACCAATTTGGAGCAAACAGCGAAGTTTCCTCATTTTTGGACACACATCGTACACTTGCGACTTGAAGTACAGATTTATGAAGTGCCTCAATACTACCAACTTAGGCGTGTGTCAATTGTGAGGCCAAATACTCTGCCAATTACTCCAACTGGGCCGGCCGTGGTCCCGTGGTAAGAACACGGGCTGGCAAATCCTATTCCCGGGTTCAGTTCCAACGTCGGCTGGCTCAGTATCAATGCAGCTTGATACCAAATTTTCACTTGAAATTATAGATTTCAAATATGATCCAAAGTAAAAAATAGCCTTCCGTGATAATAATACGGGATATAATACTTATATCCGAGTATAAAAATGCAAATTCGGAGAGCCAAATATAAAAATTATTCTTCGGCTCTCATATTACTACCTTGAGAATGTTTATCTCCAGTGAGCAGCCGTTCAGCTCCGAGGTGGCGGTATGTGTAAACTTATACCTTTTCTCCTACATTTTTACCTACACACATATTGCACCTTGTGAGCCTATGGGGAACATGAGTCCCATAAATAATGTGCTAATAATAAATATTACAAAATAATGCAGTCAAATGATGCGAGGCATTCGCTTTCTGACGACCCAGTTGGAGATAAGAGACCAGCAAATATTGCCGAGAGAACGAAAAGTTGAATGGAAAATTGTTTAAGTTTAGTTTGCGAGCAGATAAATATATTTTTTTATTTTCCTAGGCAATTTGTAAGTTATCATGGATAAGGATCTTTACCGATTTTTTTGGCATAT